ACTGAAGAACCATCTGCTAGCATGGGAATCCAATACATCTACTCACCTTCAATGCTTCAGTAACTGTGCAGGCTATGACTCATCCCTCAACTCCTACACACTCTACAAGCCGCTTAAATACTTCTAGTAGTACACACTCAACTACAAACTACACCCTCAGTGACTACAACCATGATCGCTACACCCACAGCGACTAATTTATAGTCACATCTACAGCATTAAACTACTAACTACAACCTTAAATATGAACCTTCAACTGCTTTACCCTCAACTACTAACTCCACACTCAAGTCCTACGCATTCAACGACTAGCCACACCATCAACAACCATTTTCAGTATTTCAGAAAATGTTTCTCTAGTTTAGGATTAGCATGCTAAGGCACTAACTCGGGTGCGCCGTTTCCCAGGATGACAGCACGGGAGAGATGATTTTCGATGAGGTTTTCCATGCCTTGTCCAGATGTCTGGCCGGTCTCGCTCAACCCTTTACGGTCCCGGGAACGGAGCAGCTCTTTACCCCAAAGATCTTCACCACCATCCTGGTCTACTCCTCCATTTTCGGCCTCACGTCCCATCAGGTCTCCTCTTCTTCTCATTTCCCGGACGCCGAAACGTTTTCATTGGCTCAACTTGTCGAAATGGTGCAGGTCCTGGTACAGGGATGTCAACTGGAGCGAACGGACCTGGGCCACTTCCTGCATCACATCTACCAGCAGCTCAAAGCGGTGGAAAGCAACATCGCCCATGTGCTCAATCAGCAGCACGAAAGTGTAAGCGAGCACCTTGGCAATGGGAGTATAAAATTTTGTTCCCCTCATGTTATTGTTTTTTGCTGGTCAAATTACAACTCGGAAGTCATAGTTGACTGTGTTTGACCTTTAGTGCTCGGTGGAGTGTGGTCTCCATGGCAACGGCGTGGAGGATCCGCCTCCCAGGAGGCCGAACATCTCCATGGTGTCGTCGGACATGGGCCTGGTCAGCATGGTGGGGCAAGGCATACTGGCCCTGCAGATTGTGTTTGCAAACTATGAGAAAGCATTAGCGCCACCCAATAATCTCTCAGTTGACTCGTTTTCTTGCTATCTAAATTGCTCGTCTTCGTACAAAGTAATTCAAACAAACATAAAATCTTAAATCATAATTGATTAGCTACTTTATTTTACACTTCATAGTCATCTATTATTACTCCGTTTTCTTGCAATCTAAATTTGCTCGTCTTCGTACAAAGAAATTCAAACAAACATAAAATCTTAAATCATAATTGCTTAGCTACTTTATTTTACACTTCATAGTCATCTATTAATTGATTCTTAATTGATTTTATTCTGTAGTTCCCATTTCCCCATACAGGTAATGGTTTTTTTTCATTCGGTTTTATTTTATTATTTTATTTCCTCAGTTTCTGAGGAGATTGTTCCCTGTAAATTTTAATATCAATATACAATGAATAACTGTTTTCACCACCATAACTATTCTACATAATAAAATAATGCATTTTTTAAATTCAGGAATCTAATAGTCAAATTTACTACGGAGCTTTTTGCATTTATTTTGATTTTGAACTGAGTTTATATTTCTTTTTCTTTTATTTTAATACTCCCCAATTCATCTTTTTTTCTTCTGAGGTTAATATCAATATATTTTATAGCCCCTTTAACAACAATCTGTTTTTTCTTTGCTTGTTGGGTGTAGTTTATTGATTCAGGTATGATAGATAGATAGATAGATAGATAGATAGATAGATAGATAGATAGATAGATAGATAGATAGATAGATAGATAGATAGATAGATAGATAGAAACGTACCGTATTCACAATCATTGCATCTTCGATCGCGTGTTTTTTGATTATCAAAACTTAAATCAAGAGCCACTCACCCCATGCTTTTCGACAAGTCACATTAATTTGATCTATATTGTTAAATTTTAATATTTTGGGGAAATTTTATATTCGCCCAAATCTGTCTGCTTTCGTTCTTGCAGTTGTGCTTTAGTTTCCACTTCGAACCACCCAATGGCGCTCGTGAGTTTGATAGATGTTATCCAATCGCCATTAATGGGCGTGAAGAAGACGCGTGTACATAGACTGTCTACATGACAAACAAAAAGTCAGTTTGGACCAAAACAAGTTCCAAATCAATTTTTTGACGATAGCCAACATCCCCGCGGTCCTTATGCGACGCACGGCATGGCAGAGAGACAGGACACTGAGGTGAGTCGACCCTAACAAATAGTGTGCCAAGGAGAAATGTGGTGCACTGGTTTGATTTCACTTTTGCTCCTGTTAAGTCATCAACCACAATCCAAGCAAGTGGACTTGGGTAGCATCACATTTTGACACTTTGTTTTTTAACGTTGCCACCTCGCTTTTGCTCCGTAGTGGAACTGCTTTGCCATTAGTTGATGAGGTTCCGTTTGTATCAGTGTGAATTCTTCTCGTGTCATTCATTAATTAACATCCAAATGAAGTCTTGTTGAAATTAGGCGGGAAACATGCTGAAAAAACGTCATCGCGCCATCACAATAACGCCACTGTTGGACTCTACGATGATAGCATGCTACTGTCAGAATCCTCAATTGGTATTTCATGCCACACTACTTCACCATGAACTACCTGGACTATTAATGTAATTGCTGCACTCAACTACTGATGACGCTCTCAATCAGGAGAAATATCGATAGAGAGCACAGTTTGTTTTGTATAATGTCATTTTCTTTTTCTTTGAGCGAAATGGGCTCAAATCAGAAATGGAAATCTCATGAAAAAAATGTCAGCGATTTGATCTTCCAGCGTCCTGTCGTGTGTCCAGGTGGAGGATGCCGAGCATATTTATTTTATTTCCTCAATTTCTGAGGAAATTGTTCCCTGTAATTATTTTTAATAGCAATATATAATGAATAACTGTTTTCACCACCATATTCTACATAATAAAATAATGCCTTTTTAAATTCAGAAATCTAATAGTCAAATTTACTACGGAGCTTTTTGTATTTCTTTTGATTTTGAGACTGAGTTTATATTTCTTTTTCATTTATTTTACTACTCCCCAATTCATCACTTATTTCTTCTGAAGTTAATATCAATATATTTTGTAGCCCCTTTAACAACAATCTTTTTTTTCTTTGCTTGTTGTGTGTAGTTGATTGATTCAGGTATGATAGATAGATAGATAGATAGATAGATAGATAGATAGATAGATAGATAGATAGATAGATAGATAGATAGATAGATAGATAGATAGATAGAAACGTACCGTATTCACAATCATTGCATCTTCGATCGCGTGTTTTTTGATTATCAAAACTTAAATCAAGAGCCACTCACCCCATGCTTTTCGACAAGTCACATTAATTTGATCTATATTGTTAAATATTAATATTTTGGGGAAATCTAATATTCGCCCGAATGTGTCCGCTTTCGTTCTTGCAGTTGTTCTTTAGTTTCCACTTCGAACCACCCAATGGCGCTCGCGCCACTCGCCCGCCATTTGCTTTCAGTTCAAACGAATGACTGAAGAACCATCTGCTAGCATGGGAATCCAATACATCTACTCACCTTCAATGCTTCAGTAACTGTGCAGGCTATGACTCATCCCTCAACTACTACACACTCTACAACCCGCTTAAATACTTCTAGTAGTACACACTCAACTACAAACTACACCCTCAGTGACTACAACCATGATCGCTACACCCACAGCGACTAATTTATAGTCACATCTACAGCATTAAACTACTAACTACAACCTTAAATATGACTTGGGTAGCATCACATTTTGACACTTTGTTTTTTAACGTTGCCACCTCGCTTTTGCTCCGTAGTGGCACTGCTTTGCTATTAGTTGATGAGGTTCAGTTTGTATCAGTGTGAATTCTTCTCTTGTCATTCATTAATTAACATCCAAATGAAGTATTGTTGAAATTAGGCGGGAAACATGCTGAAAAAACGTCATCGCGTCATCACAATAACGCCACTGTTGGACTATACGATGATAGCATGCTACTGTCATAACCCTCAATTGGTATTTCATGCCACAAAATTGCCACACTACTTCACCATGAACTACCTGTACTCTTAATTGCTACACTCAACTACTGATGACTCTCTCAATCAGGAGAAATATCGATCGAGAGCACAGTTTGTTTTGAATAATGTCATTTTCTCTTTCTCTGAGCGAAATGGGCTCAAATCAGAAATGGAATTCTCATGAAAAAAATGTCAGTGATTTGATTTTCCAGCGACCTGTCGTGTGTCCAGGTGGAGGATGCCGAGCATATCTACCTGCTGATGAAAGAGGAGTATCGCATCTCCAGGAATGTGCGTCTGGCCTGGTTTCTAGGGAAACTCAACCAAACCATCTGGCCGGCATCTAAACTGGATCTGGTGAGCTTTATCTTGTTGTCGTTTGCTTTTCCACCATCCAGCGACTAATCAGGTTATTCCGCTCCATTGCAGCTCAACTCTACCAATGAGCTGGACTTGCTGAGCGTTTTACCCAAAGGATGGCAGCGGGACCCGCCGCCGCTCCCCCGCCCCAATGCCGCCCAGCCCGCCCTGTTGGTGCCATCCACTCGTGCCACTTTCCTGGCACGCAGGTATCGCTTCATCATCGAGCTGGATCTCAGCCCGTCCACGGGCATCGTGGTGAGTCATATGACACTCGCCCGCCATTTGCTCTCAGTTGAAACGAATTACTGAAGAACCATCTGCTAGCATGGGAATCCAATACTCATCACAATAACGCCACTGTTGGACTATACGATGATAGCATGCTACTGTCATAACCCTCAATTGGTATTTCATGCCACAAAATTGCCACACTACTTCACCATGAACTACCTGTACTCTTAATTGCTACACTCAACTACTGATGACTCTCTCAATCAGGAGAAATATCGATCGAGAGCACAGTTTGTTTTGAATAATGTCATTTTCTCTTTCTCTGAGCGAAATGGGCTCAAATCAGAAATGGAATTCTCATGAAAAAAATGTCAGTGATTTGATTTTCCAGCGACCTGTCGTGTGTCCAGGTGGAGGATGCCGAGCATATCGCCGTTTCCCAGGATGACAGCACGGGAGAGATGATTTTCGATGAGGTTTTCCATGCCTTGTCCAGATGTCTGGCCGGTCTCGCTCAACCCTTTACGGTCCCGGGAACGGAGCAGCTCTTTACCCCAAAGATCTTCACCACCATCCTGGTCTACTCCTCCATTTTCGGCCTCACGTCCCATCAGGTCTCCTCTTCTTCTCATTTCCCGGACGCCGAAACGTTTTCATTGGCTCAACTTGTCGAAATGGTGCAGGTCCTGGTACAGGGATGTCAACTGGAGCGAACAGACCTGGGCCACTTCCTGCATCACATCTACCAGCAGCTCAAAGCGGTGGAAAGCAACATCGCCCATGTGCTCAATCAGACTCGCCCGCCATTTGCTTTCAGTTCAAACGAATGACTGAAGAACCATCTGCTAGCATGGGAATCCAATACATCTACTCACCTTCAATGCTTCAGTAACTGTGCAGGCTATGACTCATCCCTCAACTACTACACACTCTACAACCCGCTTAAATACTTCTAGTAGTACACACTCAACTACAAACTACACCCTCAGTGACTACAACCATGATCGCTACACCCACAGCGACTAATTTATAGTCACATCTACAGCATTAAACTACTAACTACAACCTTAAATATGAACCTTCAACTGCTTTACCCTCAACTACTAACTCCACACTCAAGTCCTACGCATTCAACGACTAGCCACCCCATCAACAACCATTTTCAGTATTTCAGAAAATGTTTCTCTAGTTTAGGATTAGCATGCTAAGGCACTAACTCGGGTGTGCCGTTTCCCAGGATGACAGTACAGGCGAGATGATTTTCGATGAGGTTTTCCACGCCTTGTCCAGATGTCTGGCCGGTCTCGCTCAGCCCTTTACGGTCCCGGGAACGGAGCAGCTCTTCACCCCAAAGATCTTCACCACCATCCTGGTCTACTCCTCCATTTTCGGCCTCACGTCACATCAGGTCTCCTCTTCTTCTCATTTCCCTGACACCGAAACGTTTTCATTGGCTCAACTCATCTTGTCGAACTGGTGCAGGTCCTGGTACAGGGATGTCAACTGGAGCGAACAGACCTGGGCCACTTCCTGCATCACATCTACCAGCAGCTCAAAGCGGTGGAAAGCAACATCGCCCATGTGCTCAATCAGCAGCACGAAAGTGTAAGCGGGCACCTTGGCAATGGGAGTGTAACATTTTTTTCCCTCATATTATTATTTTATGCTGGTGAAACTCAGAAGTCATAGTTGACTGTGCTTGACCTTTAGTGCTCGGTGGAGTGTGGTCTCCATGGCAACGGCGTGGAGGATCCGCCTCCCAGGAGGCCGAACATCTCCATGGTGTCGTCGGACATGGGCCTGGTCAGCATGGTGCGCCAGGGCATCCTGGCCCTGCAGCTGCTGCCTCCCAACTCCAGCGCCGGTAGCTTGGCCTCCCTCACTGCCTTTCTTGCTGTTGCGAGTGCGTCGCACCAGCCTGACCCGCCCACTCGTGTTTCAGGCATCATCATCATCACGGACGGCGTGATGAGCGTCCCCGATGTCGTCGTGTGTGAGACGCTGCTGAACCAGCTGAGGAGCGGGACCATCACATGCTCCTTTGTGCAGGTTCTCACTCCGGCTGCTGCCTTCGTCCTGAATTACTGCACTTGCGACCGCAACCTCACTCTCTGTACAATGCTGTGGGATGGTTGGGCGCGCGGCCATTTAGGTGGGCGGGCCGTACTCGTACGACTGCAGCTTCGGCTACATCCCCAACGTGGAACTGATGAAGTTCATCTCGGTGGCCACCCTCGGGTCCTACCTGCCCAGCTGTCCTCCGCTGGACCTGGACAGCCACAACATGAACGCCTACCACAAGGCCTTCCTCACCTATTCCTTCCTCAAGACCCCCGAAGCCATCAACTCGGACATCTTAAGCGGTGGGTCAGACCATTCTTCACACCCTCTTCAAATTTCTTCTTATTGACCCCTTTTTAACAACTTTTTCCATGTACGCCTTTTTAATGGTAAAGATATGACTTTTTGTGTATGCTTGCAGCTTTGTGTAAGATTACATTTTTTTTCCTCCTTTCTTGGATAATGACAATGTTTTCATAAGAGTACCCGGCAACAACCTTTTGTTCATGTTCGGTTCCTCCTTTCTTGGATGTTTGGTGTTTTGCAGTGTCTCAGCACAAACTGTTCAACGAGCACCTGGTGTCGGCCAGCGGAAACCCGGCACTGGCGATGCGCAGGAAGAAGCACACGGAAAAGGACGTGCACGCTCACCTAATCAGCGTGGTGTCTGTCAGGCTCAGGGAGGGCTACACCATCCGGGAAATCAGCCTCACCAAAGGTTGTCCGAGAAAGTCCTTTGCTCATAACGTTGTTTTTTTTCCCCATCATAAATGTAAAATTCCGTTCGTCTCATCAACTGAATTTTATGATGACAAACTTTTTCCTCATAAAGTCACAACTTCTTTTGTACTCCACTTTTTTGCTCTTGTGAAATTTAGATTTTTTTTTCTTATACAATTCAGATTTTTTTATGATTACACGTGTTTTCCCCATGACTCTTTTTCTCATCAAACTTTTTTTTTTTTGTTCTTATAATATTGTAATCGCTTTTTCATCATGACAATTTCTTTCTCAGAAAAGTACCCAATTCCCAGAAGGTCATGCCTTTTTTTCTCATGAACTTTTATTTCAACTCCATTTTTTTAATTGTTATTCATAATTATGACTGAAGTGTATGACATTTATTGTCATACACTACTGTTTTTTTTCTACTTGTAAAATGTCAAAAAGTTTTCCTAACTCTTTTTTTCTAAAATAATTTTTTAAAATGTTCTTAAAAATACAACTTTTCCCATAGTTTTCATGCAATATTTGTTTTCTTGTAACTTCCCTTAATGTTTGTTTATTTCATGAATTGTTTCTCGCAAGATCCTAACTTCTTTTTTTTTTCTGGTACAATTTACAACTTGTTAACACTTAAGGCATCATGTTTGCTTTCAGGCGGCAGTCAGCTGGAAGTGAAGCTGGTGCTGCTGTGGAAGCACAACATGCACATCGAGTACGTGGCGTCGGCCCCGTGGCCGCTGGACCCCGGCAAGCGGACCACCCGGGTGGAGGTGACCATGGAAGGCAGCTACGACATCCTACACGACATCAGCTGCACGCAGAGGAAGCCCATCACAAGCTCCTACCGCACCTCGGTCATCCGCCGCTTCTGGAACACTTTGCAGAGGTAGCGGACAAACGCGCAACCGCTTTTGGCGCGCGATGGTGAACCACTTTCATCCCTGCAGCATCAACCAGACGGATCAGATGCTGGTGCACCTGCAGTCTTTCAACTCCGTTCCGGAGAACTACACCATCCCCGAGAGCACCAAGAACGGAGTTCCGCTCTTCTACATCCCTCCCGGATCCACCACACCGGTAAGCGCAACATTAGAAACCACTTTCACATTGCACGTCCACTAAGTTGGCACACCAGAGGTCAGCATTTATTTGTCTGACCCGTACAGACAGAATTTGCCCATTTACAAATTACTGATTTATTTTTGTAATCGATTAAATGAACTGATAAATATTTGCATAAACTGATTATGATTCGGGTTCTCGTTCGGTCCATAACAATTCAGAACATTGGCAAACGTGATCATTGTCCTCCTAATGTATCTCCTTTGTAAAAGCAGATGCTCTGTTTTGATTTGTAATCGTTGGAGCTCTACGTTGAGCACAAAATTCCAACATCACTTGTATATCCCCAGTCCAAACACACAATGCTTGATTGACAAGTGACATAAGCAGGAAGTGACATCACGTTATTTTGTCTTGTCCAGGTTCTGTCCCTGCAGCACGGTGGCTCCAAAGACTCGTCGCAGTCACAGTTCGCCTCCTACTGGAAGCCCATCCTCTCCATGGATGCCAATTTCTGGCAGAGGTGGCTGCACATGCACCGCATTGCCATCATCCTGGAACACGACATGTGAGACGCAACACACACACTCTTTGGTTGCCACACGTACCCTGTGTTGTGTGTGTGTGTGTGTTCTGTTATTCTGGACTTTGTTTATATTTGCCTCTGCATTTGTGTGTGTGCTTGGTGTGCAACTGTGTATCTGTGATGTTTGTGTGCGTGCAGGCCGGTGCCCAAACACCTGCACACGGCGGGCAACAACGGGCGTTACAGCACCATCCAATGTCGCATCTCCCACTCTGCGCTCACCTCGCTGCTGAGGGACTGGAGCAGCTTCGTTCTGGTCGAGGGTTACTCCTACGTCAAGCTCATATACAGGTGACGATGACGACGATGATGATTATAATGATGCCCCCAACTGAGCCTGTGGAGAATTTTATAAAATGTTGACTGGTTTTGATGATGGCAATTACTTTTTTGCCCGATGCATCGATTAATCAAAGAAGTAATTATTAATCGATTATCAATAGCAGCAGCCCAAACCTAATCATAGTCTGAAGAGGATAAAGAATGCAAGACTTACTACTGTGATATTCTCAGTCTACATGTGTTGCCAGACTGTTTGTTTTCAATCTGTTGCGTAGAGGAGGAGTGCCAGACCTTTTTTGACTACTCTAAGATCTACTTTACAAGCATCCAACCTCCCGCCTTCGACACGTTAAAATGCTTAGTGGAGGTTTTAAACTTTTGTAGTTCAATTGTCAACACGTATGAGTTCCGCAGTATATAGTCTTGTAATTGTGTGCCCACAGTTCCCTGGAGCAGCCCCCCACCTCCTTCTATCTGGTCCGACTCATCTCCAAGACCCCCTGCATGGTTCTGCGATTGGGCTTTCCCATCGGAACACCGGCACACGTTCGAAACAAGGTAGTAGCATGTTTATGCTGGTCATTATAGCGATACAAGGATATGGTATATATAATGATACACTCAATAATAATAACTATAAGATCCTGGGATCGTGCGACGCATCCATTCTTTGTCCCCTGCTTGTCAGATTGTGGACGAGCTCCGCGAGCAGATCCTCAAGCTCCGCTTCCCGCATCGCATTCACAGCAAGGAGGCCACGCCCAAGACCAAGAGGAAGGCGGCAGCGGGACAGCCTTCGCCATCCAAGTCGCCCGCTCTCTCCACGCCCAAGCATGCCCTGTCGGACCGGCCGTGCGTTGTGGTGCTCAACAAGCCGCTCGAGAAGCTGCTCATCAGGTCGGCGCCGAAGCACACACGTCAAAAAATATTGTCCTGTTTTTAAATAAAGGGATAGAAAGTTCAAAAAATAGTTAAGCTGATTCATTAAGAAAAAATTGTATTGTATTGTATCGTATCACCAACAAATTGACTCCGATGCACCTCAAATGCTCAAAATCAAAGTTCTCAGTTTGCAAAAGTGACTTTTTGGACTGTTTTCGATCTGTTCGCCAGGTACGAGAAGCTGCCTCCGGACTTCAGGACTCCCTTCATCTTCAGCATCGAGAATACGTCTTTGCAGCCCTCCAGCGGGTCGGCACCCCTCAACGTGGCGGGCAACCGCGCCGCCTCGTCCACACTGGCCTCGCTGTCCCGCTACTTCCTGCACCGACGCTGGGTGTGGGCGGTGCAGAGCAGCCAGGGTCCGGCCGTGGCCATGCAGGCCGTCGCCCACATCCTCTCCATGCTGTCTGAGTGAGTCCCCCAGCGTACAGCGGTGCCTTGAGATACAAGTGACCCTACTTACGAGTTTTTCAAGATACAAGCAACAAGCCTGACTCTGAAAGTTCTTGTTGTGAAGGATCCGCCTGTCGGAGGGTTTTCATTTTGCCGCCAGCGGAGACGGCATCGTCAACATGGTCATTGAGCTGCCCATGAAGGTAAAAGACTTTACATACTTGGCCACAAAACAATATCGCAGATTTGGAGGCAATTTTTTCAAGGGTTTTGTGCCTTTGGTGTAGTACCACTTTGTGCCACAACATTTTGGGCACCACTGAGCTCGATTGGTTGAGATGTAGCGTAAATGAGTCAGAGGAAGAGGCCGAGCAGGTCCCCTAATGGTAGTTGACATCTGTGATCGTCATTGTGCCCACAGAGCAGAGAAAATATGTGCCTCTGACTATTGTTTTTTTTTTTTCTTCTTAAATATACATCTTTTTATTCAAACCTTTTCATAAACATACAACGTGCAGCTACATGTGAACATAATAATAATAATTGTCTTGGTGAAGCAGTATGTGGCTCGTAATCCAGGGTTGAACTTTGAAGACGATGTACACAAATGTACTTTGTACGTTTGTTCCTGCGCTAGGGCACGTCCGCCGACTCTGAGCAAGAGAGTCACTCGTGCATCGTCCAGTACATCCTCTTCCCGCCTCACGCGACCTCCACCAAGGACAGGTAGCTCCTCATCCACGCCTTCACCTCATATTTGTCGATCGGCGCCGTTTGTCAAAAAAGTTGCGCTGAATGTTGCAGCTTCTCCACGGACGACGACAACGACACGGAGGTTGAGGCGGTGGACGTGGACGTGGAGCTCAACGTGGTGACCGAGTGTTGGGTGGAGCCTCAGAGTGGCACCATCGCCAGCTGCTCGGAGCAACATCGCCACCTGCTGGGCCTCAGCTACCAGGAAGTGCCTCAAGCCGTGAGTCACTCGGCCGCCGCTCCCACCCTGTTTGCGATGAAGTACTCCCTCCGATTGGTCGCGTTGACTCTGCTGTAAATTCACCCAGATCTTCCCCAGAGATTTAGCCTGCATGTCCACCATGATGACATTTGAGTACCTGAGTCAGCTGTGTCAGAACAAAGACCAGGTCTGCTCTGTGCCTGCTGGACTCAGGGACACTACAGGTTTGCAAGCTTTTAAATATTGTTTTTTGTGTGTGTGTGTGTGTGTGTGTGTGTGTGTGTGTGTGTGTGTGTGTGTGTGTGCGT